GATGAATGATATATGTTTAACAGGAAGGGGAAATGTATGCTATGTAGTATAAGACAAGGGTAAAGGATTTTTCTGGTCGATGTAGATAAGTTATCTCCGGTGAGCCCAAAACGACGTTGTTTTGGGGCAAAAATCAAAGTATTTTTGTAATTCTAATATATTGCAGGGTTATTTTAGTCTTTATCATTATAATTTGTTAATCTGATAACCCCAAAATGATGTCGTTTTGAGCTTACTAAAGATAACTTTATCTTCAGTGACTGAAAAAGTAATTTTCCCATAAGACAAAATCATCTCATGCACATATAAAAAATGAGTGAGACTCATTTCTTTTCTTTTTCTTTCTTTTCTTTAGTGGATTCTACTTATTTTATTTTTTTGTGTTACATAAGATAATTTTATCTCATACAATATGAGAAACATATTTCCTTTAGGGTGTGTTTGGTACAAGGTCATTTTTTAAATTACTGGGAAAGCTACATTGGTAATCATAAAATGTCATGTTTGGTACAAGGTAATCAAAAAATATTCCCGAACATCTTTGTTTACCACTATTCTGATTTACAAACAAAAGTCTCATTTCGAATTATCAAAAATAATATGGTATTTCACAAATCTCACTTCAAGGGAAAATGGAAAACAAATTGTGAGACAAAAATACCCTGCAGCACATATTGAAACCCAGTTAATTGTGCAAAAGAAATAGTGCACGGATGGTTACTTTTGTAAAATAACTCACATTCTCATGAATATTTCACAATAACCAAACATGGAGTCAGTAATCTTTATCTAATATTCCCTCGGTAATATTTTGACCAACTAAATAGCTTTTTGGTAACATTTCCAAAAAATTCATTTCCCAACCATATTTCGAGTAAGCGTGATTTCAGGATAAATATTTTTTTTTCTCTTGTACCAAACACTGCTTAACAGAAAATAAGACTAAACGGGTGGATATGTATAAGGATCAACATCATGATAGACAGCGTTTCATTTGGGTTAGCACCGCCAAAGAGGAATATAAAGGGCCAGAATGCCATTAAAGATCGAAATTGATGAGAATGACGAAAGAGATGAGGTTGAGGAAAACGTAGGAGATTGTAATTCTACAACTCTTTTAAGATTCTTTTGGGTCCACATTCCATTAAAAATCACACGAATGAATTAAGACTGCCAAATTGGTCATGAAAATCGGAACACCCTACTAATTAACTCTCTTTAATCATGTAAGCAGACACTATCCTTTTGATGTTGTATTACAATTTTTTTATTGACTTGAAAAAGGCACATTTTTTTTTATTTCTTTTAATATTTGTATAATTATATTTTACGTTTATTGTATAGGTACAAATGTCAATATCAAAAAATTATTAAATCTTTTATTGTTTTCTTTATTGTATAGGTGCAAATTATTTTTTATGAAAAAATGCATAGATATCTCTAAAGTTCACTTCAAAAAGTAGTCACTATAGACTTTTAAATCTATTTGACGGTTTTTTTTTCCCCCAACAAATTTACACGAAATATTTTTATTTATCGGAAAACATAATCAGAAATTTTTTATGAGAATTAATTAACATTTTATTGAACTTGAAATTGATGAATGATTTATTTTCTTTCTTTCTTACAAGTTTTAATTAGCATAACTCTGATTTTATAGGATTTACATAAAAATCATACACATATTTTTGGGGGGAATAGATCCTTTCATTTAACATGACTAAATCACGTTCAAAAATTAATTATTAATTGACAGATTAAAAATCACAATTTAAATAATAAAGTTCATAAAACAAAAGATGACAAAATTTATTTTAATTAATAATTATTAATCTATAAATAATTGACTGAGATTTTTCACATAAATCGATTATATCAAAATAATACAGGGAAGAATCCATTTTCACTGTGAGACGCAACTCAGTTATACTTTGTTGACCCTTTGTAGTGCAATAATCATTTAGAAAAGGAAAAGCCTAACCCACTTTTAATAACATTCCAATACTGATGAAGTATGGGCGGCGACGAAGGACCCTAATAATTCATGTTTGGTCGGTCTGAAAAAGATTGTTTCTTTGTAATGTTATGCTACTTTCTTATTTAAGGCATTGCCTTGCGAATTATCACTAAATGACAATAAATTCCACCTAAGAATGAGCTCATTGGTTCATCTATATCCCCAAGGAAACCCCTACCAAATGGTGATAGCTCAGTTGGCGCATGGGAGCTGAACAGGTGGGGGTGAGGGCATGTGTTCGAACCTCCCCAGTACCACCTTTGGGAGGGGTTTAAAGCCTTAATCCTGGACTCGCCCCGAATCGGACTATTCGCGAAGCGTTGAACCGATGGAATATTTCCAAAAAAAAGATGTTAACAAAAAAAAAATACGATTTTCACTTTAATCTCTTAAAAAAAAATTAGTCTCGTGGTTCCTATGAGATTTAAAGTGGACCCATTTTAATCCTTTTGAGGGACTAATTCAAAGTGGGTCCACTTTGAATTTTTTAAAGACCTCGGGACTAATATTTTTTTGTAAGGGATAAAGATGAAAACCGTACTTTTTATTAGAGATTTAAAAGGGGCTTTACTTTTTTTTCTACTTGTGGTGTACTTAATTCTCAGTTAGGGGTACAAATAGGCTAGGCTAGACTTTGATTTAAATAGGCCAAGCCTATGTAAAACACATTGGGTCTAGGATGACCTTTAGCCTGTATAGGCCCCAAATTACAAGTTTGGTCTGACCTATATTTAAAAAATAAAAGCTTTGGCCTAGACCTATTTGCTTGTTTAAACCTATTAAACTTCAACAATTAAAAGAATAACTAAAATAATATTACTTTATTATTCAAAATTATTAAAATAATAATTTTATTTATTTTATTTAAAATAAATAATATGATATAGACCAGCCTGTAGGCTTATAGGCCCGACATGTACAAAAAAGTCTATGACTTGTTTTCTAAATAGATTTTTTTAAAAGCTCAAACCTGTTCATTTTTACTATTACAAACCTGACCTAATATAAAACCGAGATAATACATTTACATCTCTATTCTCAATAAACCAATTTCCTTCTGTTAGGCAAGTAGACGAGCCAATTTTTTGAAGTTATATGTTTCAAAAAAAGACAAACTTATCCAGCTTGGATTACACCTCATCCTTGGGACTGCGTAGTTTGGCTCACCAACGTCCACCATCCACATCACCATTTTCAAAAGCATCAAATGTAAAGCTAAAGACTAAAGTTTGTAGGTTGTGGAAATTGTTTATTTTAAGTAATAAAAATAAAACTCCAATTAAGTCCTCCAACAATTTCAACGTACTAATTATTCAAATAATTTTATCACAGGTTGTTCCTTAAATATACAAAATAATTGTCAAATTTATTATTATGAAGGACAAAATAATAAATAAATAAATAAAGAAAATTTGGCAACTATCTCACTTTTGAAGGATTAATTAGTAATAAAAATATTTGAAAAACTAACACAATGACACACTTAATAGTATTCAATAATATAAATTCCTATACGAGGTTACCAAAAAACTTGCTCATTAGAATTTTATTTTGTGGTTTGGAAAAATGGTAAAAAATAATGTAACCGTAAGTTCATTTACTTATTTTATGATTACAGCATGATTCAAGTTGAGATTCGGGTTAACAGTTTCATATCTAAGACACCTTGTCAACTCTTCTAATATGTTAAAACTCTGGCCTAATTATGCATATCCATGTGCTACAGAACTTTCTTCATGTTCTGCTGGGATGCTTACTATATAGATTATCTAAAGCTAAAGTAAATAATTAGAGGATATAAACTTTGGACTTATTCCAAACTAACCAATCATAGACAATACGCTGTACTGAATATTCTCCCACGTATGATTGCTTTTGACAACTAATATTCCGCTAGGTGCATGAAACTACTTACATAGTTAAGAATATAAGAGTTGGGTACGATAACAAGCTAGTTGCACTATGAAGAATTCACTTCTGGATTATCCCTTGTGAAAGACCAGTAAGATTATTATAAATATTTTACACTGCACGCAATTAAAATAAAAATAAAATGCTGAGGTTCACTAAGATAATCCTAGTTCACTTACTAACTTTCATTAAAACTAAGGACATATAATTCCTAATGTTTACTATTAAGTATGGTTGTGAAGATGTACTCATTATTCTTATTAGTCACAGTTAAGAAATATAAAACTATTAATGAATTTTAGTCACTATTCTTTTAATAAAAAAGAAGAGTAAAATTCTAACACGAGATACATGGATGTATGCATTGTTCGTCTTTAATTTTAAATTTTTTTACGTAAAAAAATCCTAACACGAGATAGATGGATGTATGCATTGTGCTCCCTTTAATTCTAAATTTTTTTACATAAAGAGACGTGTTAGAAATACAATGTAAAACTATTCATGTGTGTATAACAAACAACTCAAGTTTTTCTGAGAGTTGATTCTTGATGTTTGCTAAGCAAGCCACTAGCCGATTGAAAAGTTTGGCAAACCAACAAATAACATTCAGAGTAGGATCCTTAACCCGACAAAAGCCAACCCTGAAAAGGAGAGAGAAATAATTATCCCTGCTTTCCCTACGTGACTAAAAGTATCCTATACTACAGCCCCGAGGATAACAAATAGAAATAGATTTATTGTTCACATAAAGTTAAATAGTATAACATGGCATGTCGCTGATCTATCAGTAGGACCATTGCACTTGTGGCCTGCTCTTGATATGTATTGGCATATCACTAGTGGTACTGTCACTTCTAAGGCACTTTAGTGACATTACCATCAAGTTTACTAATACACACACATATATTACTAAAACCGTCTTGATTACAAGTAACAAGAAGATCTGGCAGCGCATACAGAATTGAGCTAGCAATCTAAGCTTTAGGATATAAAAGAGTGAAGCAACACTACAAAAGATAGTCCGAGTTTGATTCACAATAATTCTTTATGCAATTTCACCTTCTACCAAATTGTTCGGGCATGCAATATGGAAACTGAAACTAATATTCAAGAAGATGCATCTGCTATGGTATGTATTTCCATCAAAGTTACTGTTTTGATGACCTGATTCTTGCAGACATGTATTTAGCTGAAGTAAATGTTTTGATTAATTATCTCTACGTCCCAAGTCTTATGTCTGTTACTGCTTGATGCTCCTTCAAAACTTGGTTAAGCAGTAATATTTCTTTTCGCCTTAGTTATGTAATATTTAGAAACATAAATAAACAGGTAATCTATAGTTGCTTTGGGATGTCTTTATCATAAGAATTATTTCCATGTATGTATGAGTATGCGTAAGATTTATTTATCATTAGAATTATTTCCAATCATTTATTTTCTTCATTAGTAATACAAATTTGATTCTGAAGATGCATCTATTAAAACAGGGAATTGTTCTACCCGAAGGCATGGACAAAGTCTGTGCAGAAAAAGAACAAGTTGATCACCATTCTGAAACACAAAGCATGGAGGAAGCGATTATAAAGCATACCAATTCAGAGGAAAAGATGACAACAGAAAGCAGCATAAAATCGACTTATGATATGGGAGAACTAGAAAAGATTCCAGAGTCACACTCTATTGAGAATTTATCGATCAAGTATGGTGGAAATATCATGCCAGAGGAAGCAAAAGATATCAAAGAAGCCACAGATGAGGAGTTACAAAAATCTGAAACAGAAAGTGATTATCTTCTGAAAGGTGAGAGACCCTTTCACTTTGTCTTTACACCCCCCCCCCCCCCCCCCCCAAAAAAAAAAAAAAAAAAAAAAAAAAGGAAAAGGAAAAGAAAACAAACTACACAATTTATTTAAATCCCTTGGAATATACTAGCATTAAAAACTTGTGTTCTGAACAAACTTTAGCCAACCCTGTATATATCCTCATTAAGCAGCTTGCTGCAGTAAAAAGTGTGTTTCGAAAATTCAGCAAATTACTTTTTATTTTAGTCTTTAGTGAACTTCATTTTCACCAAGAAGGAATTATAGGCATTCCAAAAATTAGATCTTCATCATATATTTAAATCCCTTCAGTCAATAAATTTTAGCTGTCATATGGAAATGGGAGTTTTCAATTTCTAAAAAAAAAAAGAAACAAGTTGTACTATACGAAAGTAATGTATGCGGATAATAGCAATATAAATTACTATAGTAATTCATTGCGCTGATCAGTAGCTTTATGTGGCAATAGAATTTTCCAGTTTTTGGGACAGACTATTTACAATAAAGAACAACTTCAGCCACCTCTGTGGCGATGATACCAACAAACATCTCATGTATAATGACAGGTGTACCTGAGGATGAATCCACGTCAACATTACCCAAATTGGCAATTGACCAAGCTGAGACGGCTGAAATAGGCTTTGAGAAAGAAACACTTGAGGAAGAAGAATCAACAGAGATCGATAATAACCAGTGCTGTAGGCCACAAAATGAACTTGAGCAAAGAATTAAAGCTTTTGAGGTTAGAGATTAATGCAGTTATTAAGAAAATCTTCTCATTGACAACTGCATACTCTTATACGCACATAAAATACTCATGCTTATGCATCCGTACAAACAATCAAACATATATTTTCTTCATTGTAATACAAATTTGATTCTGAACGCTGCACATTAAAATAGGCAATTGATCTACCCCAAACCATGGGCAAAGATGCTGCAGAAAATGAACATACTGACCAACAATCTAAAGCAACCAGCACAGAGAATGTAATTACAAAGCATTCGTATTCAGAAGGAACGTTGACAATGGAAAGCAGTACAAAACTAACTTATGATGAGGAAGAACCAGAAAAGATTCCAGAGTCACACTGTGTCGACAATCCAGAGATCAAAGATTGTGGAAAACTCATGCCAGAGAAAGCAATAGACATCAAAGAAGCCACTGAACTGGAGTTACAAAAATCTGAAACAGAAAGTAATTATGTTTTGAAAATTTACAAATTGCTCTTTTTCTTTTATCAAATTTGATTTGACATCCTAGAAACAAATACAAGCAGTTTATCCTTCCCGCAGAAAGAAAAACGAAGACCAACATGGATTTTGAAATCTCTTGAAAAACAAATTCTTTCGCATTATTAAAATTAAAAACTACTATATTAGGATGAAAGACTCAACTTTATCCAACTTTGTTAATGATAACATGTTAACAATAATTCTATGGCCTCATTAAGCACCTTGTTGTGGCAGTAGAATTTTCAAAAACAAAAATTACCTAGTCAATCTTGTGTCAATGATTGCATTCAACATCTCATTTGTATAATGACAGGTGTGCCTGAGGATAAAGCCCTGTCAACTTTACCAATTACAGCATCTGTCCCAGTTGAAGCAATTGTGAAAAGCATTGAAGAAGAAATACATAAGAAAGAGGAATCAGCAGTGACAGATGCCGAAGAGGGACAAAGACCAGAATATGATTTTGAGAAAACTAAAGTTCCTGAGGTTCGATACCACCGTGCATTTTCACGGTTGCCCATCATAATTATCTATCTGGGCATGCAAACAACCAAGTATTTATTTTCCCAAATATAATTCAATTAAGTTCTGACACAATATCTAATAAAACAGGCACTTGATTTACATGAAGCAACAGACAACACCAGCAAGGAAAATGAAAAGAAAGATAAAAACCAATCTGAATTGCAGAGTGTGGAGACATTTGTGGTAATGCATCCAAATTTTGAAGGACCAGAAACCACAGATATAAGCCCAAGGAATAATACTGAAGAACTTGAAAAGGATCCAGCATCACACACTAGAAATAAATTAGAGATGAAGGATGGTGGGAATATAATACAAGAAGAAAAAGAGATGGAACTCAGGGAAGAAGCAAAAGATATGCAGTTGCCGAAATCTACAATAGAAAGTATGTTCTGAAAATTCAACAACTTTCTTTTTATTCTTTGGTGAACTTCATTTTGATCTTAAAAGCAATTACAGAACTTCAGTTTCCAAACATACAAATTTCAATATGCTTTTTCAAATCCTTTGAAACAAAACTTTTTGCTATGATATGGCATTGAAAGCTTTCTATTTCAAAAGAAAAGATATAATTTGTACTAAACAGAAGTACCCAATGTGATTGATAGCAATACCCCTTGCTACAATAACTCGTTCACCTTATAAGAAGCTTGGTGAGACAATATAAATCCGTGTTTTTGAGACAGTATATCTATCAGATGAACAAACAAGAACTAGTTTAGTGAACTTTGTACAGATGATAGCCGTTAGAATATTAGATATGATACGATTAGATTTGATTAGATATGATTGGATTCTGTCTTATCCGTAAATAGTCTGACTGTATTCTGACTGTATTAGGATTAGGTTTGGATTAGGTTTGGGCCTTACACTTAAGCCCATTAGGGTCTCTATATATTGTAACTCCCTGACACAGATCAATACACAACGTATTCTTTTACATTTAACTTGGTACCAGAGCTATTTCGTTCTGGGAACCCTCGCTTCCGCTTAGAAATCTTGTTCTTCGCTTTAAAACCTAAGCCCACTGCTTAGGAGTCATCTTTTCTTTGTCGTGCGTCCTTCCGGTAAGACATCAAAGGCTGTAAGTCCTCTCCAGGCATCTTCTGCACGTGTCCACATCCCCAAACAGTCACCGGAGCACCATCAGCCACCGTCAGCCACTGTTCAGGCTGCCGGAGTACTTTTCCGGCGAGTTTTCAGTCTGGAACGAACGCGAACAGAACCCTCTCCTCCCGGCGACCTGCTCTGTGGAAGTCCGGCCACCATCGGAGTTGTCACGCGCTCTCACGCGCCTCTAGTCTTCTCTGCGCGTGGGCTTCACGCGCCACCTTCTGCCGGCGCGTGAGCACTATTCCGGCGGCTTTTTCCGGCCGGTCTTGGACAGAGAAGCTCGTCTTCTCCTCCTCTTTCTGGATCTGTGGTTGGTTCTTTGTGGGTCTGACTTTTTGTGCGCACCTCTTCTTGATTGGTGATCAGGTTCGTTTCTTTTTATTCGGTTTGTATCTTTGTGATTTGATACTATGGCAGCAAATCCTCCAATTCATTCGGAGGTCAAGTCTCCATCTCCTCCTTTGAGAAATTCTCCCAATATCATCTCTACCAATATTGGGTCCATTACCTCTTCAAAATTGAAGGGATCTGTTAATTACAAGAACTGGGCCACCTCTGTTCGAGTTTGGTTCTTTGGACAAGGATATGGGAACCATCTCACAACTAAGTCTACTGATGTCCCTAAGGAGGACAAGTCTGATTGGGAAAAGATTGACAACCAGCTTCTGAGTATCCTCTGGCAATCCATTGATCCGATTGTCTTGGATATCTTTTATTCATTTCAAACTTGCACTGAAGTGTGGGAGGAAGCAAAAAACCTCTACACTAATGATGTTCAGCAGCTCTATTTCATCATCTCTCAGTTTATGGAATTGAGCAAATCATCCGACATTCAGATGGAGACATATATTGGCAAGAGTCGCTCTTTGATGCAGGCATATTTGGATATGCTGTCTTACCCTACTGATGCTACTGCATATCGGAAACAGGTGGAACGTCTCTTTATGGTTGCCACACTTTCTGGCCTTCCCGAAGAATATGATAATGTTCGTGATACTATCTTGACTAGTGGGGAGCCTGATCTATCCATGACGTATCAGCGTCTTCTGAATCTGAATAAGAAATCTGCTCCTGCATCGTCTTCTGCTGTTGATTCTACTGCTCTAGTTTCCCGTACTGATTTTCGCGGGCATATTGGAGGTGGACGTGGTCGTGGTAGAGGCCCAGGAGGACGTAGCCCAGGAGGTCGTGGCCCAGGAGGTCCAGTCGGACGTGGTCAGCGACCTCGTTGTCATTACTGTCAGCAACTTGGTCATTATGAGGAACGCTGCTACACCAAGTATCCTCACATGCGACCTTCTTTTGCTGCTAATGTAGCTCAATCGGATACTGCTTCAAATGGTTCAGTCTCTCTCTCCTCTGAAGAATATGCAGCATTCCAGGCCCTTCTCAGGAAGTCCTCTCCTCAATCTCAGGCCTCTGCTTCAGAAACTGGTAATCCTGTTGCTTGTGTTTCTCATTCTGCATCACTTAGTCCTTGGATATTTGACTCAGGTGCTACTGATCACCTCTGTGGTAATAAGGAACTCTTTTCTTCCCTTACATATTCTAATAATTTACCCTCTTTTACTCTTGCTGATGGAACTAAGGCCCCCGTTCATGGGATTGGACAAATCTGTCCAACCTCCTCATTGACCTTGACATCTGTCTATTACATTCCTCACATCCCTTATAATTTAATATCGGTTAGTAAATTGATCAATTCTCTTAATTGTATTGTCACATTCTCAAACCATTCTGTTTCTGTGCAGGACCCGGGTACGGGGAAGATGATTGGAGTGGGCCGTGAGTCACGGGGTCTGTTCTACCTTGATGTGCCGAGTCCTTCAGTTGCTTGTTCTCTCACAGAATCTCCACAGCTCATCCACAGTCGTCTCGGGCATCCTAGTCTTGCGAAATTGCAAAAGATGGTTCCTCTTTTATCCGTTCTTCAAACTTTAGATTGTCAGTCATGTCAGCAAGGAAAGCACATACGCTCCTCCTTTGCTAATCGAGTCAATAAACGAGCTGATGCTCCTTTTTCAATTATTCATTCAGATGTTTGGGGTCCTAGTCGTAGTGTGTCTATTTTAGGTTTTCGGTATTTTGTCACCTTTATTGATTATTTCTCCCGTTGTACTTGGATTTATTTAATGAAAAACCGTTCTGAGTTGTTTTCTATTTATCAAAAGTTTTCTGCTGAAATTCATACTCAATTTGGTGCTTCTATTCGTATTTTACGTAGTGATAATGCTAAGGAGTATGTTTCTGTTGACTTTTCTCACTTCTTAGCCACACAGGGTACTTTACACCAAACCACTTGTCCTCACACTCCACAACAAAATGGAGTAGCTGAACGTAAGAATAGACATCTCATTGAGATTGCCAGGACTCTTCTTATTCACATGCATGTTCCTCTTCACTTCTGGGCTGATGCAGTCCTTGCTTCTTGCTTTCTCATCAACCGCATGCCTTCATCTGTGCTTAATAATGATATTCCTCATAACTTATTGTTTCCAGATGTTCCTCTTTTTCCTCTATCCCCACATGTTTTTGGTTGTACCTGTTTTGTTCATGATCTCACTCCTGGTAAGGATAAGTTAACATCCAAAGCCTTTAAATGCATTTTTCTTGGTTATTCTCGTCTTCAAAAGGGTTATCGCTGTTACTCTCCTGACCTCAAGCGTTACTTAGTTTCCGCGGATGTCACCTTTTTTGATCAACAACCCTTTAATTCTATCCCATCTCCATTGTCACAGGTTGATCATGTTCTTCCTGTTCCTTTTTTTGACTTGTCTTTGCCAGATGCAGGTGCTTCTACTCCAGATAAGCAATCACCTATTGCTCCAGTACCTAAGGACCGTCCACTTCTCACTTATCAGCGTCGTAAGACAGTACCTCCAGTCGACTCGACCCCTGCTGACTCATTGCCCTCTGCAGTTGATTCTTCCCCTCCGGATCCTTCACCAGAGGCTCTTCCCATTGCTCAAAGAAAAGGTACACGTACTACTCGTAACCCTTATCCTCTTTATACCTTCTTGAGCTATGATCGCCTTTCTCCTCCTCATTTCACCTTTGTTTCTAGTCTTTCTTCTGTTTCTATTCCTAAGACCACAGGTGAAGCACTTTCTCATCCAGGATGGCGCCAAGCGATGCTTGATGAGATGACCGCACATTATACCAAAGGCACTTGGGACCTTGTTTCTGCTCCTCCAGAGAAGTCTATAGTTGGTTGTCGCTGGGTGTTTACTGTGAAAGTTGGACCTGATGGCCATGTTGATCGTCTCAAGGCACGCCTAGTTGCCAAGGGTTTTACTCAAATCTTTGGCCTTGATTATAGCGATACATTCTCTCCAATCGCTAAGATGGCGTCCGTCCGCCTATTTCTTGCCCTTGCTGCTGTTCGTCACTGGCCACTCCTTCAACTTGACATCAAAAATGCCTTTCTTCATGGTGATTTACAAGAAGAAGTTTACATGGAGCAACCACCTGGTTTTGTTGCTCAGGGGGAGTCTGGGAAGGTATGTCGTCTTCGAAAATCCTTATATGGTCTCAAGCAGTCTCCTCGAGCATGGTTCAGTCGCTTCAGTTCTGCTGTACAAGCGTTTGGCCTAATTCGCAGTAAAGTTGACCATTCTGTATTCTATAGGATTACATCTCCTAACAAGTGCATCTATTTGTTAGTCTATGTTGATGACATCATCCTCACCGGAAGTGATCAAGACGGAATCCATCAGTTAAAACAACATTTATTCAGTGCATTTCAAACAAAGGACCTTGGGAAGCTGCGTTACTTCTTGGGAATTGAGGTGGCGCAATCTAGACAGGGCATTTCTATCTGTCAAAGGAAGTATGCCTTGGATATCCTAGAGGAGACTGGTATGTTGGGGTGTAAACCAGTTGATACACCCATGGATCCTAATGTTAAGTTATTTCCCAGACAGGGGGAGCCGTTATCTGATCCTGGACGTTATCAAAGGCTGATTGGGAAGCTCAATTATCTTACTGTGACTAGGCCAGATATTTCTTTCGCTGTCAGTACGGCCAGTCAGTTCCTTGATTCCCCTTGTGATTCACATTGGGATGCTGCTGTGAGGATCCTCCGATACATCAAAGGAGCACCAGGAAAAGGTTTGTTGTATTCGGATCAGGGAAATACAGAAATTTGTGCTTACTCAGATGCCGATTGGGCAGGATCACCCTCGGACAGACGCTCTGCTTCTGGTTATTGTGTCTTCTTCGGAGGAAACTTAATCTCATGGAAAAGCAAGAAACAACTGTTGTTTCCCGATCTAGTGCAGAAGCTGAGTATCGTGCAATGGCAAATACTACCTGTGAGTTGATCTGGTTAAAGCAGTTGATTCAGGAGCTTCATCTTTGTGAACAGAAACAACCCATGACACTCATCTGTGATAATCAAGCTGCGCTACATATATCCTCTAATCCTGTTTTTCATGAGAGGACCAAACATATAGAGATTGATTGTCACTTCATTCGGGAAAAGATTCAGTCAGGAGAAATCAAGACAGCTTTTGTCAACTCGTCTAATCAACTAGCAGATGTTTTCACTAAAGCTCTTAGAGGTCCTCGGGTTGAATACATTTGTAACAAGCTTGGTGCTCATAATATATACGCACCAGCTTGAGGGGGAGTGTTAGAATATTAGATATGATATGATTAGATTTGATTAGATATGATTGGATTCTGTCTTATCCGTAAATAGTCTGACTGTATTCTGACTGTATTAGGATTAGGTTTGGATTAGGTTTGGGCCTTACACTTAAGCCCATTAGAGTCTCTATATATTGTAACTCCCTGACACAGATCAATACACAACGTATTCTTTTACATTTAACTATAGCATTCAAATACCGTGACAGGTGTACCTGAGGATGAGTCCTTGCCAACATTACACACATCAGAATTTTTCAAAAGGGAGATATTTGAGAAAAGCTTTCATGAACAAACACGTAAGGAAGAAGAACCAACAGCGATCGAGAATGACATGAGGAGGGAACCGGGAAAAGAACTTGAGCAGACTAAAATTCTTGAGGTAAGGCAGTGATGAAGGAAACAAGAAAATATGCACATAGATAACTGCACACTGTTTCACACTTGTAAACTGCTTATGCATTCATGCAAACAAATTTGATACTGATACTGCAATATTAAAACGGGAAATTGAGAATCTCAAACTTATGGCCAAGGTTGATGAAGAAACTGAAGAAAATGCTGACTACCAATCTGAAGTATCAAGCATGGAGAAGGTGATTACAAATCATATCAATACAGAAGGCAAGAAGACAATGGAAGTCAGTACAAAATCAAGTTATGATACCGACAAACTGGAGATGAATCCAGAGTCCCACTCTGTCAACAATTCAGAGAACAAGGAAGTTGGTAAAATCACCCAGGAGGAAGCAATAGATATCAAAGAAACCACTAACATGGAGTTACAAAAATCTGAAACAGAAAGTAATTATGTTTTAAAAATTCAGCACCTTTCCTTTTGTCTTCACCAAATTTGATTTAATATGCAACAAGAAATACAAGCTTAAGTTTCCTTGAAAAAAACAAAGTCCTACAAGGATTTTGAAATCCCTATATCCAAAATTTCTTCAGCATAAAATAACATTTAAAACTATTGTATTTGGACGAAAGGAAAAACTTTATCCAACTTATATATGGATGATAACAAGTAAACTGTAATTCTTTAGCCACCTAAAGCATCTAGTTGTGGCAGAGAGATTTTCTAAATTTTGAAGAAAAACATATAAAGGAGCAAAAACATAGCACCATAGCCAACCTTTGTGTCGATGATAGCATTCAACTTCTCATTTGTATAATGACAGGTGTGCCTGCGGATAAAGCCCTGACAACTTTGCACACCAAAGCATTTGTCCCAGTTGAAACAGTTGAGGAAAGCATTCAAGAAGAAATACATAAGGAAGCACAATCAGCAGCGACAGATACAAAAGAGGGGCAGAGCCCAGAAAATTATTTTGAGGACAAAATGAAAGTTCCTGAGGTTTGAGCACAGCGCAGCAAAATAACCTTGAAAATAATAGATACTAGCATGCATTTTCACACGTGTACATCTTAATTATGTGTCCATGCAAATAAAAAATATCTGTTTTCCTTATGTACAAATCTTTAAGTTTTGACACTGTATATGTTAAAACAGGCATTTAATCTACACAAAGCAATGGCCAATACCTGTTTGGAAATTGAAAAGAAAGCTGAACCTCGACCTGAAGCACAGAGCTTGGTGACCATAGTAATAAAGCATCTAAATTTAGAAGGAGAAACTACAGAAGTAAAACCAAGTAATGATGCCATAGAACATGAAATGATTACAGCATCACACACAGGAGAGAAATTGGATATCAAGGATGGTGGGAAATGCATACAAGAGGAAGCAAAAGTGTTGGAAGAAACAACTGATATGCAGTTACAGAAAACTGGAACAGAGAGTATGTATCGAAAATTCACCAACATTTTTTACTCTAGTGAATTTCAGTTTCATCCTAGAAGCAGTTACTGAAACTTGGGCCTTTTCGAAATCTGTTTTGAAAAACAGTATTTTGATTTTCAGAACAAAAAAACTCGTTTGATAAAGTCTGTTTTATAAAAAAGTTTTAAAAATTGTAACTGTTTTTTTGTTTTTAGAATCAAATTTAGAGAACATATCTGAGTTATTTTTATTGTGTTTTGACTTTTAACTTTCAAAACAAAAAAATGATAAAACACACATATTTCATTAATTATTCTACAAAACAGTTTTAAGAAAACAAAAAAACCAGAACACAATCATACACACCAGTTTCGAATAACTAAAAGTTCTGTACTTTTTCAAATCCCCTCAAACACATTGTTGCACTGAATGGCATCGATAGTTTTCAATTTCTAAAAAGAAAAATAAATAACTTATACTAAATGGAAGTACTACAAATTTTCAGTTTATGAGACAGGATATTTATCAGATGCACTAAAAAAGAACTATTTTAGCCAAATTTGATCAGATGAAACCATAGAAATATCTCTTACGTATAATGACAGGTATACCTGAGGATGAAGCTCAGTCAATGTTGCCAGCATCAGCAATTGTCAAAGGAGAAACTGTCGAGGAAACCTTAGTGGAACAAACACTTAAGGAAGAGGAATCTGCAGCGACAGAAAAAGACAATAGGTGCCCACCAGAAAACGAAATTGAGCAAACGGCTAATATTGCTGAGGTTAGGCAATATTGAAGTTAACAAGAAAATAGTTATTATACATAACTGCAAGCCGTTTCATACACATAAATTGTTAATGCTTACAAATCCATGCAAACAAACAATCAAAAACTTATTTTCTTCATTTGTAATATGAATTTTATTCTGATACTGCAAATGTTGAAACAGTCAATTTCTCAACCCAAAACCATGGTCAAGGCCAGAGCAGAATATGAAGAAAATGATGACCATCGATATGAAACATCAAGCATGGAGAATGTGATAACAAAGCATATCAGTGCCGAAGGAAAGGTTTCAATTGAAAACAGTACAAAATCAAGTCATAATGTCGACAAATTGGAGAAGATTCCAGAGTCACACTCAGTCGACAATTCAGAGATCAAGGATGGAGATAAAATCACGCCAGAGGATGCAACAGATATCAAAGGAGCCAGTGATGTGGAGTTACAAAAATCTGAATCAGAAAGTAATCATGTTTTGAAAATTGAGCAACCAGCCCTTTTCTTTTTATTGAATTTGATTTCACATCCAAGAAACAAACACAACAAGCTTAATCATCCCAGGAAAAACAAATAAAAGACAAAAAAAGAGCTAAATGGTTTTTCAAATCTTATGAATCAAAAGTTCTTTTGGCGTAGCAGATTAAAATAAAAAAATTTAGTTTGGAAGAAAGGAACATCTTTATCCAGCTCTGTATGTAGAAGATAACATGTACACAGTTATTACTTGTCCTCATAAAGCAACTTCTTGTGGCATTGGGATTTTTCTAATTTTCAAGAAAACATATAGTTGTACAAAAACAGTACCATAACCAACCTTGTGTTGATGATTGCGTTGAACATCTCATTTGTATAATGACAGGTGAGCCTAAGGATAAAGACCTGTCAACTTTGGCCACTACAGCATCAGTTGGAGTTCGAACAGTTGAAAAAAGCATTAAAGAAATAGATACCGAAGCAGAATCAGCAGTGAAAGATACAAATGAGGGGCAGCAACCAGAAAATGATTTTGCAGAGATAAAGAAACTTCCCGAGGTTTGAGCAGACTGTAACAAAATAAACAAAAAACCTATTGCTACTACCTTGAATTTTTAAAAAAGCACATCTTAATTATGTGTCCACAAAAACAAACAAATATTTATTTTCCTACTCAACATCTTTATGTTCTGACACAGTATATGCTAAAACAGGCAATTGATTTATACAAAGTGACACACCACACCTTCATGGAAAATGAAGAGAAAGTAGAATCCCAACCTGAAGAGCTGAACCTGGAGAACACAGTTATAGAGCATCCGAATTTGGAAGAAGAGACCACAGAATTAAACCCAGCTACATATACTGAACAACATGAAAAGGTTCCAGCATCACACACAGGAGAGAAACTAGATATCAAGGATTATGGGAAATTCATACATGAAGAAGCAAAAGAGATGGATGATGCAATTGATATGCAGTTACTGAAAACTTCAACAGAAAGTATTTTTTCCAAATTCACCAACATATTATTGTTGTTTAGGGAATTCCATTTTCATCCAACAAGCAATTACAAGAACTTTATTCTTCCAAAAATTAAAGTTCGTTACTTTTTTGAATCCCCAGAAACAACAAAATTTTTCTTTGAAATGGCATTTAAAGTTTGCAATTTCTAAAGAAAATAAAAAACTTGTACTAAACAGAAGTACTATATATGGATGAAAGCATTTATAATTTACTACCATTACATTGTCCTTGTCAGTAGCATGATGTGCAAGTGTAAATTTTCAATTTTCAAGGAAGGATATCTATCAGATGTAATAAGAAAAATCTATTATAACCAACTTCCACAGATGATAGCATACACACATCTCATATGTATAATGAATGACAGGTGTGCCTGACGAAGCCCGGACAACATTGCCCACATCAGCACTAGTCAAAGGGGAGATGGTTCAGGAAATCTTACAGCAACAACCAATTCAGGAAGAGGAACCAGCAGCAACAGATAACGACAACAGCTGCAATCCAGAAAATGAACCTGATAACACGGCCAATGTTGTTGAGGTAAGGCAGTAATGACGTTAACAAGAAAATAACCATACATATCTACATGATGTTTCACACAAGTAAATTGCCCATGCTTAGACATCCATGCAAAAAACAATCAATCATTTAATTTTTTCATTTGTAATACAAATTTGACTCTGATATGCTGAAGTTAAAACAGGCAATTGATCAACCCAAAATCATGGCCAACATCGGAGCAGAAAATGAAGAACAAGCTAACCACCAATCTGAACCACCAAGGATGGGAAGTGTGGTTACAAAGCATATCAACGCAGAAGCAAATGTGACATGGGAAAGCAGTACAAATTTAGATAATGATGAGGACAAAAAAGAGAAGAATACAGAGTCACACCCTATCGAGGACTTAGGGATGAAGGATGGTAGTAAAATCACCCCCGAGGAAGAAACAGATGTCAAAAAATCCACTGATGCAGAGTTACAAAAATCTGAAGCAGAAAGTAATTTTTTTTGAAAAATTCTGCAACCTGGTTTTTTGTTTTAAACGAATTTGATTTGACAACCAAGAAACAAAAACAATAACCTCATTCTTCGAAGGAAAATAAAAACAAAAAATAAGAAAAAGACATACATGGTTTTTTAAATTTTATGAATCAAAATTTCTTTGGCATAGACAAAAATTAGTGTGCTTGGACGAAAAGAACAACTTTATCCTGCACTCTATTTGTATCATTACATGTAGAAAGTAATTCGTTGACCTCATAAAGCAGCTTGTTGTGGCAGGACATTTTTCATTTTGAAGAAAACATATAGATATACAGCAAACTGTACCATAGACAACCTTGTGTCAATGATTCCATTTACATCCGATTTGTATACTGTGATAGGTGTGCCAGAAGATAAATCCTTATCAACTTTACCCAGCACAGCATCTGCCGGAGATGAAACAGTTGAGAAAGGCCTTCAAGAAGAAACACATACGGAAGTGGAATCAGCAGTGACAGATACAAAAGAGGGGCAAATACCAGAAAATAAAGTTGAGGAGAAGAAAAAAGTTCCCGAGGTTTGTGCAGACCTCAACAGCATAAACTAGAAAATAGTAGTTATTATATGTCCATGCCGCCAGAAAATTATTTATTTTACTGACATACAACATCCATATGTTCTGATGCCATATATGTTAAAACAGGCATTTGATCTACCAAAAACGACAAGCCACACTAGCACAGAAAATGAACCAAAAACAGAACTCCAATCTGAAGTGCAAAACCCGGAGACCACAGTTATCAAGCACCCAAATTTGGAAGCAGAGACCAAGGAAATATACCCAACTAAGGATAGTGAAGAATATCAAAAGGTTCCAGCATCACACAGCAGGGAAAAAATAGAGAATGAGGAAGATGTAAAATTCATACAGGAGGAAGCAAAAGATATGGAAGAAGCAACTGATATGCTGTCACTAGAAACTGCAACAGAAAGTATGTTTTCAAAATTCATAAAGTTTTCTTACTCTAGTGAATTTCATTTTCATCCTACAAGCAATTACAAAAACATTATGCATCCAAAAATAAAACTTCATTACATTTCAAATCCCATCAAACAATTAATCTTTGCTGTGAAAAGCATTCAGAGATTTCAATTTCTAAAGAAAAGAAATAAAACTTGCACTAAACAGAAGTATTGTATGCAGATAACAGCATTACAAGTTACTACAATAATTTTGTCCTTACATTAGCAATTTATTTCAGTAAAATTTTCAGTTTTCGAGACAGTATATCTAACAGATGTACTAGAAAATAACTACCTTAGCCAACTTGTGCGGATGATATCATAGAAACATCTCATATGTAAAATGACAGGTGTGCATGACGATAAAACCCGGACAACATTGCCAACATCAGCAAAAGTCGAAGGAGAGCTGGCTGAGGAAATCTTACAACAACAAACACTCAAGGAAGAGGAATCGGCAGAGATAGATAATGACAGCAGCTGCAGCCCAGAAAATGAACTTGATAACTCGGTTAATATTGTTAAGGCAAGCCAGTAATGAAGCTAACAAGAAAATAATCATATGCTTATATGCATGATGTTACACACAAGAAATTTGTTCATGCTTAGACATCCACGGAAAACAATAATCAATCATTTATTTTCTTCATTTGTAATACAAATTTGATTCTGTTACTTCTTGAATTAAAACAGGCAATTGATCAACCCAAAACCATGGCCAACGTCGGTGCAGAAAATGAAGAACATGCTGACCACCAATCTGAAACATCAAGCATGGAGGACGTAGTTACAAAGCACATCAATGCAGAAGGAAAGGTCACATCAGAGAGCGGTACAAATTCATGTTACGATGTGGACAAACGAGAGCAGATTCCACAGTCACGCTCGATTGAGAACTCAGGGGTGAAGGATGCAAGTAAAATCATCCCAGAGGAAGCAACTGATGTCGAAAAATCCAGTGATGCAGAGTTACAAAAATATAAAGCAGAAAGTAATTCTTTTTTAAGAATTTACTGTCCTGTTCTTTTTTTTTAACAAATTTGACTTGACAACCTAGAAACAAACAAACAAAACCAAAATTAGAAAAACATATGTGGACTCTTAAATCTTATGAATCAATAGTTCTTTGGCATAGACAAAAGTTAAAAATTAGTGTTTGGATGAAATGAACAACTTTATCCAGCACTGTATGCAGATGATAAAAACTAGAGAGTAATTCTTTGGCCACATAAAGCAGCTAGTTGTGGCAGTAGGACATTTTACATTTTGAAGAAAATATATAGATGTACAAAAAAATAGTACCATAGGAAACCTAGTGTCATTGATTGCATTTAACATCTGATTTGTAAAATGTGATAGGTGTGCCTGAAGATAAATCCCTATCAACTTTACCCAGCACAGTTTCTGCCAGAGATAGAACAGTTGGGGAAAGCATTCAAGAAGAAACACATCCAGAAGTGGAATCAGCAGAGAAAGATACAAAAGAGGGGAAAATACCAGAAAATGAAGTTGATGAGAAAAAGAAAGTTCCCGAGGTTTGTGCAGACCTCAACAATCTAAACTAGAAAATAATAGTTACTACCTTTACATTTTCCCACTTGCACATGTTAATTATATGTCCATGCTGACAGAAAATTATTTATTTTACTGGCATACAACATCTGTATGTTCTGATGCCGTACATGTTAAAACAGGAATTTGATCTACACAAAATAACAAGCCACAGCAGCGCTGAAAATGAACCAAAAGCTGAACTGCAATCTGAAGTGCACAGCCTGGAGATGACAGGTATCAAGCATCCAATTTTGGAAGCAGAGACCACAGAAATAAACCCAACTGAGGATTCTGAAGAATATTTAAAGGTTCGTGCATCACACACTGGAGAGAAATTAGAGAACGAGGATGACGGAAAATTCATACAAGAGCAAGCAAAAGAGACGGAAGAAGCAACTGATATGCAGTTACTAGAAACAGCAAGAGGAAGTATGTTTCCAAATTCACCAACATTTTATTTCTCTTGGTTAATTTCATTTTCAACCTACAAGCAATGACAGAAACTTCATGCTTCCAAAAGTAAAAGTTCATAACATTTCAAATCCCCTCAAACAATTAATTTTGGCTGAGAAATGCCATTAACAAATTTCATTTTTCGAGAAATCAAATAATTTGCATTAAACGGAAGCATCATATGCAGATGACATCATTAGAAGTTACTACAATAACTGTCCTAATCAGTAGCATGGTATGGCAGCAGAAGTTTTCAGTTTTCAAGGCAATATATCTAATAGATGTACTAAAAAAGAGCTACTTTAGCCAACTTGTGCGGATGATACAATAGAAACATACCATATGTATAATGACAGGTGTGCCTAACGATGAAGTCCAGTCAACATTGCCCACATCAGGAATTGTCAAAGGTGAGATGGTTGAGGAAATATTACAACAACAAACACTTAGTGAAGAAGAATCAGAAGTAGACAATGACAAGATCTGCACACCAGAAAATGAACTTGAGAAAGCGGCCAATGTTGTTGAGGTAAAGCAGTAAAAAAATGAACAAAAAAATAATCGTATACATATCAGCATTATGTTTCACACAATAAAATTGCTCATGCTTGGACATCCACATAAAAAAACAATCAATCATGTATGTCATGAACCAACTTTCCCAAAAGTTTAAGCTTTTAGGTGAAGACACATGAATGGTTTTATATAACATCTGTAACATGCCCCATCACACAAAAGCTCTTTGGGCTTGAGGAGTGAATAGTGAACAAGCTCATCTACCTTGTGATGAAATTCAACTCTCTATTATAAGAATGGGGGCAGGGATCGAACATTGGATTACTAGGCTATAGATGTAGTTGAAAATATAAGGGATTATAATATTTGATAATTGTGTTTTACATCTGTACAATTGCTCTCTATTTAAAGAGACTAAATAACCTAATGCGCTAAGCCCAAAAGAAGATTATAGAATGGAAATAAATAAACAAATACAATTATTTACAACACTTCCCCTCAAGTTGAGGAATAAAAATTTATCATTCTCAGCTTGCTAGTAAGCTCTTGAAACATTTCTGAGGGAAGTCCCTTTGTCAGAATATCAGCTAATTGAAGTTCAGAAGAGATGTATGGAGTGGTGGTCAACCCGCTATCAAGCTTTTCTTTGATGAAATGACAGTCGATCTCAATGTGCTTAGTCTGATCATGTTGAACTGGATTATAAGTTGTACAAATAGCGGACATAATATCATAAAACAGCTTCATAGGTCCTTCACATCTTATTTTTAGATCATCAAGTATAATTTCAACCACAATAATTCACAAATGCCTTAAGCCATAGCTCGAAATTCAACATCTGCACTCGATCTGGCAACCACGTCCTGCTTCTTACTCCTCTATGTCACTAAGTTACCACAAAGAAACATACACTAACCAGTAGTAGTTCGACGATCAGTCACGGATCCAACATAATCAGCATCAGTATAAACTTCTAAAGAGAGATTGCCATCATGCCGGAACAACAGTCCTTTACCAGGAGTGGCTTTGTGATCCTGAAGAATTCTCTCCACTGCGTGCATGTGTTTTTCTTTTGGATTATGCATGAACTGACTCACAATACTAACAGCATAAGCTAGGTCTGGTCTAGTATGAGTCAAATATATTTGTCACCCAACTAACTGCTGATATTGTGTTTTATCAACTAAAGGACTTTCCTCTTCATAATCCATCTTGTGATTCAGCTCAATAGGAGGATTATCCAAGTTTTCCCGCTTCTTTAAGAAGATCAAGGACACATTTTCTCTGGCTGATAAAAATTCCTTCCTTTGAATGAGCTACTTCTATCCCTAAGAAATATCTCAATCTCCCAAGATCTTTAATTTCAAACTCAAAGGCTAGCCATGTTTGTAGAAAATGTCTCTATGCAATATCATCACCTATTATAATAATATCATCAACATACACAAGGAGCACAGTTAGCTTCCCATCTTGGGAGTGCTTAAAGAACAGCGTGTGATCTCCTTGACTCTGTTTATATCCTAAGGCCATCATAACCTTAGTAAATCTCCCAAACCAGGCACGAGGAGATTGTTTCAATCCATACAAGGCCTTTTTTAACCTGCTAACTTTATTTCCTCCATCCATAGAGTCAAAGGCAGATGGGATTTCTATGTAGACTTCTTCTTCTAACTCACCATTAAGGAAAACATTCTTCACATCAAATTGATTCATATCCTAATTGTAATGGGTAGCAAGGGACAACAAAACTCTCACAGTATTCATCTTTGCAACTGGGGCAAAAGTTTCTTCATAATCAATGCCATAAGTCTGAAACCCTTGGCAACTCATCGACCCTTATATCTCTCAAGAATACCATCAGAATTATATTTCAAGACAAAAATCCATCTATAACCTACTGCTTTCTTTCCATCAGCTCTATCAACAACCTCCCATGTTTTATTTTTCTCCAAGGCATTCATCTCATCTTGCATGCTTGAGCCCAATTCTTATCTTTTAATGCTTCATGTACTGATTTTGGGATTGAGATAAAATCTAGTGCGGAAATAAAACTTTTATGTTGTACAGAAAGATTAGTAAAAGAGACAAACTGAGAGATAGGGTGTAGGATACAAGATCGTTTCCCTTTCCTTAAGGCAATAGGTAAGTCATCAGAGGTACTGGGTAAGCTATCAGAAGCAACAGGCAAGTCATTAGAGGCAATAAAATTAGGTTCAGAAACAGGAAAAGTAAAAATATTTAGGTTAGAAACAAGAGATTCAGGATTTACCAGTAGTTCAGACGCTTGAGGTTGCTGGTGAAGCAGTGTGGGCTGCTTTCTCTTGTGATATACCAACTCAGGAGTCACAATCCTCCATATTTTTGGTGTATTGGATGGGTCAGACACAGAAGGATCAGAAACAAGAGGAAGATGTGTAGGAGAAGACATGGAAGGTCCAGACTCAAAGAAAGAAGGTGATGAATCTACTGAAGAACTGCTCTCTCCCTGAAGATGAGGACTTGGAAAAAAGGACTCAGATTCATGAAATATGACATCCATGGAGACAGAATTTCCGACTAACAGGATGATAATACTTGTAGCCTTTCTTATCAGGAACATAACCAAGGAAGATACATTTGAGAGCCCTAGGATCCAACTTACTGCGATGGTGTTTATGAACATGGACAAAGACAATACACCCAAACACTCGTGGCTGAAGACTCTGCATAGAGGGAACAGAGGAAAAGGATGAAGTCATTGAGTGAATAGAACTTACATTGTCAAGGACCCGAGAGGGCAAGCGGTTGATTAAGAAAGTTGCAGCAAGAATAACATCTCCCAGGTAGCAATTGGGTACATGATTCTGAAAAAATAAGGCACAAGCAACTTCAAGAAGATCACGATTCTTCCTCTCAGCAACCCTATTTTGTTGAGGGGTGTCCACACAAGTAAGTTCATGAATCATGCCCTGATCTTGGATGAATTGGGAAAGACGTTGATTGACATATTCGGTACCATTGTCAGACCTTAGTTTTTTAATTCTTTTATCAAATTGGGTCTCAATCATTTTATAAAATCGAAAAAATGTGGTACCTCAGATTTTTCATGCATTAAATAAACCCAGGTTATACGAGTGCAATCATCAATGAAAGAAACAAACCATTTATTACTAGAAGCATGAGAAACTTTAGAAGGATCTCAAACATCAGAATGAACAAGATCAAACTCAATACTTTTAATGGTACTGGAAGGAAAAGAGACACGATGGTGTTTAGCAAACTTACAAACATCACAATGAAAAGACACAACAAACTTAGGCAAAAATAATGGTGGAAATAAAGACTTAAGCAAATAAAATGGAGGATGCCTCAAGCGTTTATGATGAAGCCAAATCAAAGAGTCAGCAGTAGACTGAGAATGAGTCAATAAGGTGTGATCCTTAGCATACTTTGCAGAAGATTCTGGCACCAGATAGTACAACCCACCTTTCTCCTTAGCACCCCCAATCGTCTTCCCCGTGGCAAGATCCTGAAAAACACAGTGAGTAGGGAGAAAAGTTACAGTGCAATTCATATTTTTGGTAATTTTATGGATAGAAAGAAGATTAGTGGAGAGTTTGGGAACATAAAGAGCATTTTGGAGATGTAAGGAAGGCTGTAAATATATGTTACTAGAATGCGCAACTGATGTGTATGAGCCATCAGCTACGGCTATTGTATGGGTGCCAATAGTAGGGTTATAAGAAAGAAATGAGTCAGCACAACAAATCATATGATCAGTAGCACCAGAATCAATAATCCAAGAATCTTTAAAATCAGTGCAAGAAGTAAGAAAAGAATGAGTAGTGGAGCTCATACCAGTCATAGTCAAAGCACTAGTACTAGATGGTTTGCTCAGAGAATCAAGCATGGTCCGAATCTACTCTAACTCATCTCGTCGGATAGAAATAAATTCCGAAGATGCACCATGGGAACCTGCCATAATGCTAAAATAACCTCAAAAGAAACAAATCAGTCTCAAATTGATGAAAAATTACCACAAAGGTATGCAGAGAGTCCAAACAGAGGCAGAATTAACAGATCTGCCAAAAAAAGGGGCCAAAAAGACTGCAACTTGAGGTGAAAATCACACAAACGCAAACCCAAACGACTTTTTGATTTTGGCGTGAACAGTGCCGATGAACAGTAACTCGTGAACAGTGTCGATGAACAGTGACACGTGAACAGTAGTCTTTTTTTTTTTTGGAAAACGTCCGTGAATTTATAGATCTAGAAAAATGGAGTCAAACAGTAGTCTTCTTGGTCCAAAAGTTCCCGGAAAAAAAAATTCCGGTAGCGGCTAGTTGCGGCGAGAGGCAAACAAATAGGATACCGCTCTAAAGGCGGCAGTTGTGGAAGCAGAACCCTCAGGATCGAGAGCTCTGATACCAAGTTGAAAATAGAAGGGATTATATTATTTAATAATTGTGTTTTACATCAGTACAATTGCTCTTTATTTAAAGAGACTAAATAACCGAATGGGCTAAGTACAAAAGAAGATTATAGAATGGAAATAAATAAACAAATACAATTATTTACGACAAATGTTTTGATACTGATGGGTATCAGAGAGGAAAAATAAAAGGAACAAGAAAAGATGGAATAGAAGCCGAGAATGATATGTATCAAGGATATCTAGAATAGAAAACTCAGCTAACGGAAGTCAAGCACTGATAGGTAAGACACTCCTTAACTCAGTTAACTGCTACCCACACTCTCACACCTTCTACCCTTCTTTGTCCCCTAGAACCCCAAATTATAGTACCCAAACCAACCCCTTTTCGAACAGTCTCACCTTTTCATAAATATCTCCTTTCAAACAGACACAACCTTTAATCATGCACATAGCCACTGACTCCTGTTTCTCGTTCCTTCTTTCACGTTATCCACTATTGCTATTTCTTTGCTCTTCTTAGTATACACTTTTCTGATTATGGTTCCAACAGATACCAACTTAAAATCTGAAATACTGAATGTAATTTCTTGAATATATATATCCAGATGTCTACAATATATATACACTAATGTCATACCTAAAAAAGCTGATTCTAGGGAAACACATCCAAAGCAAATCATACCCATAATCTGTCACATATCTTCCTTATAATATATCGTATCACAATCTGTCTAATAAAAGGGAAAAACCAATCTATTTACACAATTTGATTCTGATACTGCATAAGTTGAAACAGGCAATTGATCAACCCGAAACCACGGTCAAGGTTGGTGCAGAAAATGAACATGCTGACCACCAATCTGAATCATCAAACATGGAGAGCGTGATTGCAAAGCATATTAATACAGATGGAAAGGTGACATCAGAAAGCAATACATGTTCAAGACATGATGTGGACGAACTGGAAAAGATTCCAGAGTCACAGTTGGTTGAGAATTCAGGGATCAGGAATGGCAATAAAATCATGCCAGAGGAAGCAATAGATGTCAAAGAATCCATTGCTGTGGATCTACAAAAATCTGCTGCAGAGAGTAATTATATTTTGAAAATTAAGCAAGCTGCTCTTTAGTTTTTACCGGATTTGATTTGACATCCTAGAAACAAACACAACAACCATAATCTTCCAAGAAAAAGAAAAAAAAAGACCTAAAAGTTTTTTCAAAACTTTTGAAACAAAATTTGGCATAGAGAAAATTAAAAGCTAGTATGTTTAGACAAAACAAAATTATCCAGCTACTTATGTGGATGACAACATTTAAAGAGTAATTCTTTGGCCTCATAAATCAGCTTGTTGTGATTTTTCATTTTCAAGAAAACATACAGAAAAACGAGAAAAAATAAAGTATCATTGACGGTCTTGCATCTATGATGGCATTCAAACATCTCATTTGTATAATGATAGGGGTGCTTGAAGACAAAGCCCTGTCAACTTTACCCAGCACAGCATCAGTGGGAGTTGAATCAGTTGAAGAAAGCCTTCAAGAGGATATACATGCACAAGCGGAATCAACAGTGACAAATATCAAAGAGGGGCAAATACCAGAAAATGATTTTATGGAGAAAAATAAAGTTCCTGAGGTTTGGGCGCACTATAATGAAATAAACTCGAAAATAATAGACACTACCTTGCATTTTCACACTTGCACGTGTTAATTTTGTGTCCGTGCCAAAAGAAATTTATTTATTTTCCCAGCATACAACATCCGTAAGTTCTGACAAGTATGTGTTAAAACAGGCATTTGATGAATATGACATGACACACCACACCAGCATAGAGAATGAACAGAAAACTGAACCCTTAGCTGAAGCGCAGAACATGGAGACCACAATTATAAAGCATCCGAATTTGGATAGAGAGACAACAGAAATAGACCAAACTATTTGTATTGAAGAACATGAACAGGATTTACCATCACATACTAGAGAGAAATTAGAGATCAAGGATGATGAGAAATTCATACAAGAGGAAGCAAAAGAGATGGAAGATGTGTCTGATACGCAATTACTAAAAACTCCAACAGAAAGTATGTTTTCAAAACTCCCCGACAATTTATTACTCTCTAATGAATTTCATTTTGATCCAAGAAGCAATTACAGAAACTTTATCTTTCCAATAAAAATGAAATTCATTCCTTTTTCAAATCCCCTTAATCAATAAATTTTTGCCGTGAAATGGCATTCAGTTTTCTATCTCTAAAGAGAAAAGAAATAACTTAACAGATGTACTCTATGTGGATGACAGCATTAGAAGTTAATTCAATAACTTTGTCCTTGTCAGTAGCATGGCATGTCAGCAGCAATTTTCAGTTTTCGATACAGAATATCTATCGGATGCACTAAAAAACTACATTAGTCAACTTTATGCAGAAGAAACCACAGAAACATCTCATGTGTAAAATGACAGGTGTTCCTGAGGATGAAGGATGGTCAACATTGCCCACATCAGTGATTGTCAAAGGTGAGATGGTTGAGGAAATCTTACAGCAAAAAGCATTCAAGGAAGAGGAATCAACAGCGATAGATAATAAAAAGAGCTACACACCAGAACATGAACTTGAGATAACCGCCAATCTTGTTCAGGTTAGGCAGTAATGAAGTTAACAAGACAATAATCACATAATTAAATTGCTCATGCTTAGACATCCATGCAAAAAAACAACCAGTCTTTTATTTTCTTCATTTGTGCTACAAAATCGATTGACACTGCACATGTTACTACAGGCAATTGATCAACCTGAAACCATCGCCAGCTTCGGCGCAGAAAATGAAGTGCATGCTGACCACCAATCTGATGCATCAAGCACAGAGAGCATGAGTACAAAGCATATCAATGCAGAAGGAAAGGTGACATCAGAAAGCAATACAAATTCAAGTTATGATGTGGATGAACTGCAGAAGATTCCAGAATCACACTCGGTTGAGAACTCAGAGATCAATGCAGGTAGTAAAATCATGGCAAAGGAAGCAATAGATTTCAAGGAATCCACTGATGTGGAGTTACAAAAATATAAAACACAGTAATGATATTTTGATAATGTAGCAACCTGCTCTTTTGCTTTTACTGAATTTTGATTTGACATCCTAGAAACAAACACAACAATATAATTCTTCCATGGGGCAAAAAAAACTACATGGTGTTTCAGTGGGACTTTTTTAATTTTCAAGAAAACATAAATGTACAGAAAAACAGTACCATAGGCAACCTTGTGTCGATGATTGCAATCAACATCTCATTGGTATAATGACAGGTGCGCCTGAGGATAAATCCATTTCAACTTTACCCAATACTGCATCTGTCAGAGTTGAAGCAGTTGAGGAATCCATTCAAGAAGAAATACATACACAAGTGGAATCAGCAACGACCGATACCAAAGAGGGACAAATGCCAGAAAATGATTTTGAGGAGAAAGATAAAGTTCCCGAGGTTTGAACAGACTGCAACAACATAAGCTAGAAATAATAGATAATACCTCACATTTTCCCAATAGCACATGCTAAATATGTGTAATACCCTATATTTTCTTTTAATAAAATAATAATAATAATAAATATTTTTTGGATAATAATGATATTTAGTATTTTTGTAATTAATAATATTGGTATTTAATATCTTTAATTAATGAGTTAATAATAGTTAAAATAATAAGAGGTAAGATAATAATAGTAATATTATTTGATTTATGTGATATATATATATATATATATATATATATATATATATATATATATATATATATATTAGATGATAAATTATGATTAATTGATTGATGATTTATGTATTTATGTTTGATTAGTAATGATTGATTAGTAAATTGTTTAGATATGATGAGTCAACAAACATAAATTGTTTAGATATGATGAGTCAACAAACATATATTGTTTAGATATGATGAGTCAATAAACATAAATTGTTTAGATATAATGAGTCAACAAACATATATTGTTTAGATATGATGAGTCAGCATTGAGTCAGTAATGTATAAGCCCTAAACTTCAACTATAAATAGAGACCTAGCTTAACCAAACCAATTCACTCTCCTCTACTACTCTCTCTCTTCTCACTCCAAAAAGCTTATTTTAATTATTTTCAATCTTTATATTTTTTTTTATCAACCGGTTCTCTACCCCAAATTACTCTTTTCTTCTAGAAGTTAGCGCGGAGACCAGGTAATCCTAATCTCTAGGTGGTTGTAGATTCGTTGTGTATGAAATTTTTATTGTGTGTAATCCTAATCTTTAGGTAGTTATATGTTTGATATGTGTAATCCTAATCCTTAGGTTATAATTTTGTTTGAAGTTTATTAATAGTAATCCTTATCCCTAGAGAGTCATAGATTATATTGATATGAATTTCGGTATATGTAATCCTATTCGTAGGTTATTTCTTTTATATAAAACTTGGATGTAATCTGAATCCTTAGGTGTTTAGGTTATCTCTATTATATGAAATTTGGGCATAATCCTTATATGTAATCCGTAGATGTTCTTAATAGTTTGGTATGAACATTTCTATATATATAGGTATTTGTTTTTTTTTAAATTTAAATTACTACATATGATAATTAGAATATTTTTGGAAATTTTTTATTATTTCAGAAATTATGATTATGTGCAATATATGATATAAACTTTTAATTCATGTGCAATATATGGATCTTATTGAATAATTATGAAAATTATGGAATTATACTACTCTTTAAGAAAAACTTTCCAAATATGTGTTTTAATGATTGAATTTAAATATTTATATTATTAATAACTATGATAATTGATGTGATGGGATTATTTGAATGACGATGATTGGATTTAGATTTTTCTATGATGAATGTTGAAGATTTGAATTATTATATCCTTGAATAAATTGGAAAGTTATGATAATGATCAGATTTGGATTTTACTGTGATGACTGTTGAAGATTTGAATTATCATATCCTTGAATAAATTGGAAAGTTATGATAATGATCAGATTTGGATTTTACTGTGATGACTGTTGAAGATTTGAATTATCATATCCTTGAATAAATTGGAAAGTTATTATGATGATCAGATTTGGATTTTACTATGATAGATGCTGAAGATTTGAATTATTATATAAATTCGAGAATTTATGATAATAGTTGTTTGAATTATGATACTTTGGAAAATTATAATGCCGTTGAGTAACTCATTTAGAGATGATAATACTTAAAGAATAAATAATTATGATTGAATCTTTCCTGATTGTGTGTGTTTGTAATAAATTAATGGTGGGAAGATAGCTTTGGGATGGTACCTCCCAAGGTGATGAACACAACTTTTGGGCTTTATGCCTCCGATGTGAAACTGATGTGAAAAAGATTATATCCGTTCTTTCCAAAGTGGTGTCTGGCAGGGTTTCCCGGGATACTAGTAGCAACTTTGGGAAGAGGTGTGCACACTAGGAAGATGTGAATTGATTATGGCCAATATGATTTGTTTGTGACTGGCAGGGTTTCCCGGGTCACAGGGTAGACTGGCAGGGTTTCCCGGGTCTACCATGGTTCTCTTCCCACTAAATATAACGAACTTAAACATTATTAATAATGAAATTTGTTATTTGATTTGATTATGAAGAATGTCATTGAGTTGTGAATATTATCATATTATGACTAATGTTGTGCTAAATATATTAGTTGATAATTACCAAATACATTAAATGAACTTAATAAAGATAAATATTATATAATGGAATTTTGATTATTATATTGATATTTGATTTGATTAATGTGGAATTGATTTGAACACTATTTGACATTTGATTTAATTTGTTATTACTCATATTAATTGTATTTTGATTAGGATTACCAGCTTTGCTGACTTTTGTGTTTGTTTGACTGCAATGATCCTGCGGCTGCGGGGGAGCAGATTTTCAGTGAAGCATGTTGCAAAGGATGGGGCTAGCTGTGGACAGTGAGGATCACGACTCGAGTATTTCAAGCTAGTTTCTAAGTTTAGAAATTTATGAGATTTAAATAAATGCATAAGACATATTTCCTTTATTTAAACTTTAGTCTTTGGTTTTATTTTAATGTAATAAATTTAGCCTTGCACCTGTTCATTGTACAGGTGCGGCGGTAACATTCCCCAATTAGATTTTGATTAGCTTCCGCAATATTTCTATTATTATAATTGTGAAAAAAAAAAAATGAATTTTGACAATTTATTTATTATAAGATTGTTTCATAAATTGTTAGAAATTTGGGGTGTTACAAAATGGTATCAGAGCCCCTGGTTGCGGCTGGGGTTTGCTTTTGATATTGACTGAGGGATCAAAGATCCCTGAGTTAAATAAAAAAAAAAATTAGGAAATAAAATAATAGGACATAATATAAATAAATAAATGGAGAGAGATGGGTAGTGAAGGGTTATTTTTCTTGTCCTTTAAATATGATTTATTTCTTTGAAATTTCGATGATTATATGATTGGAATTAATTTGTGATTTAAAATTATTATTGATAATATTCTTTAAAGTTTTTTTCTTTTATACGCTATCTTTTGTAACTCGTTCTTATTTTAATAAAAGTAATTAGCTTTCTTTTAGAGTTGTTCTTGAAATAATTAAAGTTTTTCTAGCAAATGAAAGATAATATATGTAATAAAAATTTCTATTTGTTTAAACAAGATATTCAGTTTCGAAACTTTTTTTCTAGCTTTTTTTGGATGTACTTGGCAAATCCTAATTATCTCTTTTTCGAAATACGAGTCTAATTTTTCCCTGGATCCCCACGAGCTTCGAACTCTTTGAGTCGGGACGGCATGAATTTGT